AGCTTAATTTCACTAGGCAAACACTTCCTCTTTCGCTAGCCAATACAGAGCTGCTTTGCTAGATTTCACTAAACAATAGCATGCCATAAAATTCAGAGAGCAGCTTGTTCACACCAATTTCGTAAATTGGAACACTTTCGTAAGTAGAAGCAAATTTTTTCTGGAGGCGCATTTCGTAAGTTGAATTTTTCGTTAGTAGAAGCATTCGTAAGTAGAGGTACCATAATATATATTAATGTAGTATATATTGGAATATATTAATGTCAGATGCATAACTTTTTCCTTGTCTAGTTAATCAATACAACCATTAATCAAAATTAATATTTATTATCTTTTATTAATATATTAAAATTACACTCATCCCTCCCCGTCTGCAGATGACAAGCAGGGAGGGAGAAAATGGTGCATGTGTGCAGAAGCGCACACCCATTTTAACCAATGGGCATTGAATATTTGCAGTTTTTCCAATTTGTGGGGGGCGGGGGGAAGTCCAGAACGGATCTCCCGTGAAACAGAAGGGATGACTGTATTTACATTTTAGCCCAGTAGAATATTTAAATGTTTAAAATACAGCAGAAATAATAATAGTGGACAATGAAAGTGGTCTGCACATACAGAAGAAGCCCTCCTCAACCAAGAGTTCTGAACCTAAATTCCCATATGCTCCTAGCCAGCATGGTCACAAACAGGCATTATGAGATTCTAGTTCACAACATCTGGTGGGCACCAGATTGGCATGAGCTGCACAGAAATATGAAATAATAATGTTGTTGAGCAAGATAATAGTATGAAAGATGACAACAAAGACTAGCATTGGACTGTGATATCTCTCAGGAGCAAAGCGATATTTTAATGTCACTAATGAATATTTATATCCAACAAATTTAGAGCAGTTCAGTAGGCTGCAGAGTTTAAGGAATATGACACTTTAAGGATTTCTCTTCCCCAAAGGGAAGTTTTGCTACACAAATTATACAGGGTTACCTTTCTTTCCAGATGCTTATCCAAACGAGTTAATGCTTCAGTCTCCCCTCCTTGCCAAACAGCTGGGGCAAGATTCTCAGTGGGGAAACCTAAGAGAAAGGGGAAGAAGATTCATCTACAATTTAGGCAACAAGGCTACCTTCCCTAGTTTTAACTGAATCAAGTGTTGCATTGTCCGCTAGACATGCACTGGACTACTCAACATGAACTTACTATCTATAGCCAGCAGAGGGGATATCTGAATCAAGGCTTGCATAAGGCAGACGCCCTTGCAGGATGCAAATTTTTTTAATCTCCTGCAAAATTGATCAAATAATGAAACAAAAGCATACCACCAAATTGATATGAGGAGGGGGAAACCAACTGAACAGTCATACAGCTTGGAATACTATGGTGCTACTTCCAAAGAGTTAATGGATAAAGGAGGAGTGGTTTCCCTTTCCTCCTACATGCCTACATTTAAATTACTTGTATGATGACAAACCTCTCAGTCTTATCTAGTATGTAAATAGTTCACCTACATTACTTCTACCTGGCAGGAATGAAATATGATGCATAACAGGCTAAGGATCAAGATGATTCGTTATGGCTGTGCCTCTTAGGTTATCTGATGTGGGGGACTGGCAATT